ATTTGATCTTGTTTCGAGGTTTAATGCTTGCTTCTGCAAATTTTTCTGATTTGAGGGAGGCGACGGAGCCTGTAAAGGCGGAAACTGACAGTGGCTGGAATGATGATGATTTTGATGAAGACGAAATGCAGTTTTCAAATGTATGCGGTGCAAATTTAGCTTCATCCACGTCTGTGGGAAGGTTACAAATGGAGGAGACTGATGACGATGAATGGGGAGACTGGTGAGCTTGCTGTTGTTGGCTTTTTGTTCGTGTTGGTGGTTTTATTAATGTTTTCAGAAGTTCCAATTGTGTGCAGTATCATGTGTTTTTTTTTTTGTTGTTGCCCGTTTCATCGTCCCCTTTTTTTTTGGGGAAGGGGGTTCTGTTCGTCTTGTGCGCATGTGTTTTTGGCCCTTATTAACCGCGTTTTTTTTTATTGTTGCATGTTTGGGTGGAGGGTGGCCAGCGTTCCATTCGCTTTTGCGTTTGCGACGTTGGGGTTTTTACTCCTTTTGCGTTTTATTTATTTATTTTTCTTGTTTGACTTCTTTTGGCATTTGTATTTTCTCCCCCCTCCCTGCAAAGTGAAAGCAACAGCTTCCCAATCTTTTTTTCTTTGTGCACAGGATGTCCGCTGAGTCGCTGCCATCGGATGAATCAGAGGCTCATCAGCAGCCGCAGCCGCAGAAGAAGAGTACGGACATAAAGAAGAATCCAGCGAACTCGTATTATTATTGGCATGGTCACGAGAAGGAGCGTGCCAAGGTGGGGGATGTGGCGCCAATGCCTACGCCGCAGCTGGTGAAGAGGTCGGAGGCTTGCGAAGCCCCCGCCATCGCTGCCACAACTTCTCTCGTCACGAAGTACAGCTGGTGTGACGCGGAGAACGCTGTTACCGTCTACGTGGACACGAAGGTTGAGGGACAGGAGTCGTTGGCGGACGGGACGCTGCAAGTGGAATTTAAGAAGCGAACATTGAGCCTCTCTTATGTGGCAAACGTGGTGTCGTCCAAGGCGACTCCGTTGCAGCGTAAGAAACAACTTCTGTTGCACCTGTCAAAATCCATCAATGTGGATAAAAGCGAATATAAGGTGAAGGAGCCGAGTGGCCAAGTTGTTTTGCGCCTTGTGAAGGAAAAGCCCTCGACATGGTGGGAGTTGGTGAAAAAAAATGCGGGTTCTGGTGATGACAGTGAGGAGGACTCCGAGGCTGCGGAAGAGGGGGGAGTTTCACAGAACGATGTTCCTGCGTAAAAAATGCCATTGCCCAAGTGCATTTCTGCTTGATTTTTTTTCTTTTTTTTTTTTTTCATGTACGGGTTTTCATTTGCACGATGGCAGCTATGCTGCTTATGTGCACGGACTAAATAATAATTATTATTATTACTATTATTACTATTATTATTATTATTATTATTATTATTATTATTATTATTATTATTACTATTATTATTCTCACTGGAAATAATTACCTGTATCTCCTTTCTTTCTTCTTGCATGTGCATGGACTCTTTTAGAGGCGTATTTTTCATTTGATCAGCATCTCCTGGATGACAGCTGTGCCACCCTCACACCCCCACTTTTTTTTCTTCACTTGTCCTTTTGTTTTTATTGTGAAGTTTATTGACGCAGGCGCTTTCACATCTTTCTTTTGATTTTATGGACGGTATGGGCAGACGATAGTCACACACGATGTCGAATGAAAAGCTCATGTGGGTTGGGTCTCGGAAGCGAGAGGGCCAGTTATTACACACGGACGGAAGGAAAACAACTGGTGGTGGTGGCGAGGGGGCTAAAAGGGGGATGATAAGAGATCTTTTTTTTTTTGCGTGTATTCATTTGCCGGAAGCCAACAAACAAAATGGCCTTCAATATGGCAGCAACGTGTTGTCGCGACGTCATGCAGCCATTTGACCGCGGCAGTGTTGTCGTTATGTGTTTGCGGGAGGAGCTGGCGCTTAAGCTTCTGGCGGGATAATGCGATGACGCCATTGGAGAAGGGGCGGCGCGGTATTAATCGCACAGGCAACTGACTCCCCGCCCCTTCTCCATGTGCACTGTATGTATTCCTCCTAAGGTGTGAGACTGGGGCACTTTTTTTCTTGTTTTTTTTCTTTTTTCTTTTTAGTCTTGTAGTTTTGCTGGAAGGGGTAGGGCTTTTTTTTTTTTTTTTTTTTACCTTGGGCTCTCCCTTCCTTTTTTTTTTTTTTTTCTTTTTTATCACAGAATGCAGGATCGATGCCATCAAAGTTTGTCTCTGCACGTGCAGCGCTGCTTGCTGAAGCACTGTCCAAGCATGGCGTTAGGCCGTCTTCCACTGGTGCGGCGATGCGGTTTTGCGCCACACTGCTGCAGTTTTGTTTCCCTCCGGCACTGCTACACAACTCCCGTCACTGCTGCGACAGGCAGCAGGGGTGAAAGCAAAAGTGCTTGCCATGCGGCTGAGAGTGGCGTGCCCAAAACTCCATCGATCATTTTCTTTGGTGGGGACATTGTTTCGCTTGTCGCACTCAAAATGCTGCGTGAGCAGCTGGAATGCATTTGGGCAGCAGAAGCCACTACCACCCCCAATGTGGGATCAAGTCCTGCCGGCAAACCATGCCTGACGAAGACTGCCGAGGGAAAACAGCAGTTGGTTGTGGTGTGTCCTTTTTTGCCTGCTGATCCCAGTGACATTTTTCAACATCACCACCGACAATACCCTGTAGCGCGCTACTGTGTCGAGCACGCCATACCACTGTTACCAGTTGACCACCCAACATCGCTGGCACGGAGTGGGACGTTGCGGCATATTCTTTGCCCTTGGAATGCAGGTGAGCAGAGCACTGGTGCGGCGAAGGATAAGAAGGGAGAGGCGGAAGGTGAATACATCTTGGGCCAGCCATTGGAGGCATTTGACGTCGCTGTCGTGGTGTCTTTTCGTTATTTTCTTCCAAAGAAGTTATTGGAGCGGCTGCCGCGCACTGTTAATCTCCATCCATCGCTGCTTCCTCGTTATAGGGGAGCGAGCCCTATTTTTGCCCCGCTGCTTCGTGGTGATGATGCGGGTGGGACGAGTCTCATCAAACTATCGCTAGATCGGCCACTGATGGATTCAGGAGACATTCTATGGCAGCAGTCTGTGCCGATTCCACATGACATGACGATCCGTGAGTATCTTCCTCTTGTAACAAAGCTGGGAGCTACAGGACTGTGTGAATGTCTTTTTGGCGAACCCTCTGCATCGGTGCCAGCTCCGGACTTGCACAGGGTGGGGAGCGCGGCTGATGCGGTCACTGAGGCTTCGGTAACTCGGGCTTGTGACTGGCCCCGAACCTTTGATGCCCGCTGGGCTTCCGCGTGGCCACAGAATTATGATGTACACTTTACGCGGGACCCATACCACGCCCCGGTCCTCACGAAGGACAGGGTCATTATTCGTTGGCACGCCATGACAGCAGAGGAGGCGTACGGGACATGGCGGGCCTTTGTGGGTGGTGAATACCACACCCCAACTGTTAACGCCACACTCGACAAGGGCGCAACACCTGTGCGGGAGCAGTTGCTGGAGAGGTTGCGGACTCGAGCGGCACGAGAGATGAAAAAGAAAAGTCGTATTCATCAGCAATGTGATGATGGGGTAGCAACGATCAGAGGCACAGACGAACGGGAGAGTGATTTGGGGAGTCTTTTGGAAAGGGTCGGTGCGACGAAAGAAAAGTTTGTGGGGACGGAGAAGCCGGAGGTGATGACGTCGACGGCGGAAGTTTTCCACCACCACCACCCTTTCCAACAACATCTTCTTGTCGGTTGCACTTTTACAGATGCTTTGCATCCGAGAGACATCCCCACTGCCGTTGTACAAGAGCTGCAACAGCTGGAAGAGGGAAGGGTTGCTGTGAGAGTACAGGCCGGGTCCCAAGAACATCAACAGCAGCAGCAACATTGCGTGGATGTTCGTATTGAACCTGGCAGTGCATATTTCCCGAGGAAAGTGGAGGATATGTGTGCGGTGAAATGTCGTGAGGGATGGTTTGTATGGAGGGCCGCGGCATTGAAGGGGTCTACCGCACAGTCGGCGGGTTTACTTCGTAAAGGCATGGCAATGAAAACTGGCGTGCTGTATACTGCCATATTCGTGGAAAGTGCCACCGGAGAGAAGGAGCGTCCTGCTGTGCGGGGATAACAATATATACATATAAGTATGAATTATAGGCGTGATATAGCGTCTTTTTTTTTCCTGTTTGTGTGTGCGAGTTGTATGCGGTTTATGTTTCTACTGTCACTGGTATGGCTTTTCAAGGCCTACTCTTTTTTTGTTTACACTTTAGGTGCTTTTTTTTACAGGAGGAAAAGGAAGGCTTAATTAGTAATGGGTATTAAAGGTAGAAGGAAACGGCTCCGTGAACGAGAGCTGAGGGCGGATGCACAAGACTCTCAGCATGACGAGATGGGGAATGTGGGTTACCATGGTAACGGTGAAGATGCTGACGGCGGAAGTGAAGACGTTGCGATGATGGCTGATGGTGTCTTGCAGCCTCCTATGGATTATAACGGCGGGTTGCGCATGAAAAAGACGGAATTTTTTAACATGCAGGATATGGAGTACCTGGATCGCATTGCGGAGGAGCACGCCAATCGCCGCACCAGCCACATGCGCAAAAGACGGCGGGAAGAAGATGTTGAGGCCGCTATAGCCCAAACAGAGGAATTGATGCAGCACCACTACGAAACGGAGGATGCACTGCAAGCTCTTTTTAAGCGGCCCAGCAGCGGTGAGATGAAAGGGGGCGAGGAGGGATTGCTTGAACGGCGTCGGCGGGTGGGCAGAGGCGCACGCTTTGGACATCCTCTTATTGGCATTGATCCACAGATTGTACGGGGACTGGAGGCGGAAGGCTTTTATCGTATGACGACCATTCAAGAGCGGGTAATTCCATACGCCTTGGAGGGTTATGATCTCCTCGGGCAGGCAAAGACGGGGTCTGGAAAGACACTTGCCTTCTGCGTTCCTGTTCTGCATGCGACTCTCAACCTTCTTCATAAGCGGCCCAACGCAACGTATACTCTGCTACTCGCTCCTACAAAGGAATTGTGCGTACAGACGCACGATGTATTGAAGAGTATTTGCCAGCACATCTCCAATGACGTTGCCGCATTCTCCGTGCAGCTCATTACGGGAGGGACAAAATTAACCGAGGAGCGTCGACTGTTAGTGGCGGGTGCTTCGATTGTTGTGGGGACTCCCGGCCGCGTTCACGATCACGTGCAACACTGCGCTCAGTGGAATCTTGGGCGGCTTCGTTTTCTCGTTCTTGATGAGGCCGATCGAATGTTGGCGGACGGGTTTCAAAGGGATCTTGACGCGATTGTGCAACGCCTTCCGAAGTCCCGTCAAACATTTCTCTTCTCTGCAACCAACTCAAAGTCCGTTCGTGAACTCGCACGGCTGTCGCTTTACCGCACTCCACTTTTTATCGCGACCACTGGCAATGCTCCCATCCCAGTGCAGATGAAAACTGAGCATGGGACAAGCGATGCCACCGCGATGAATCCCGTTTCTTTTCCGCCGTACAACTCCTACGCGGACCCGTTCAGTGACTGTGAGGGGGAAGAGGTATCCACGTCGAGGGAGTCGAGTTCGAAGCCACACCACATGGGAGGAGATGCAGAGCCCATCCCTAGCACGTTGCGTCAATTCTGCCACATTACGCCCGTTAATAAGCGGTTGATTTGTCTCTATGTTTTTGTAAAGCGGATAGCTCGCACCTCAAAGGCGATGGTCTTCTGTTCTACCATTGCCAGTACAACATTCCACTTCCAAATGATGGGTTCTGTTGGGTTTCACAACGAGGTGATGATGCTCCATGGTCACATGAAACACCGTCAGCGTGTGGCTGCCTTCAAGGTTTTCAATGAATGGAAGACGGGCGTGCTGTTCTGCACAGATGTGGCCGCCCGTGGCCTTGACATTCCAAACGTGGAGTGGATTTTACAATATGACCCTCCGCTCGATCCCACCGAGTACATTCACCGCATCGGCCGGACGGCACGCGCAGGCAGTGTCGGTAACGCTCTACTCTTCCTCGCACCAGAGGAGGCAGGTTTTGTTCGCTACCTTTCCAAGTTTGACATTACGCTGGAGAAGTACCCGATGCCGGCGAAGATTCCACCCATTCAGATGAAGTTGGAACAAGTGCTGCAGCTGGATCCTATCGTAGCAAAGAGCGCCGTCAGTGCCTACAGGGCACACGTTGGTGCGTACATGAACCATCTGTTGAGGGAGACATTTAACATCCAGCGGCTCAACTTGGCGGAGCTTGCCCGATGTTTTGCCCTCACTTCTTTGCCGAGTGTATCACTGCCGAAAAATACTGCGGAGGGGAAGAGGCAGGAGTACGTCAAGGGCAAACTCAAGTCACTGAATCGCCGTCGGCTTGAGGCGAAAAAGTACTATGAGGCGCAGAAAACGAAGACTCAGTGGACGCCCGATGGCCATTTTGTTGGGGCGGTTCCACCGAAGTTTTAATACGCACGTTCCGATGTGCTCCCTCCGCTCGTTTAAACTGCTTGTATAATGGGAGAAGTGAGAGACCTTGGGCAGGCCACCCCACCGTCATTTTTTTTTGTTGTAATGTACGGCATCTTCACTTTCTCTTCTATTCAACATGTGTGCGCCCACCCCCAAATGAATTTTTTAAGCTTGGTGAATACGGTGCATGCTTTCCTTTTCGTGATATTTATTTATTTGAGAACTTTTACACCTTCTTGTCTCCCTTTTTTATTGCTGTCGTTTTCCTTTTGTTTGTTTGCTTTTCTCTTACTGGTGACGGAGGTCAATTAGGAGATATCACAGAGACCGCATGGTTGATGGCACTTGTGTTTGCTGGGGCAAACTTTTCACCGATGCGGTGCGGTATTGTAGGCCGCGAGATGAGAGGTGACGAGAGCGCCGATGATTTATACCTTCCAGTAGAGTTTTTGGATGACACACAGACAGTTTCTTCCTCGCCGCGAAAGGAGGACGGGCCCTGCGAGACGCATGTCACCGACTGTATCTGCCCAGGGAGTATTGTATTCACACGCGTAGGAATTACCCTGTCCCTTGTACTTACTCCCCATAGAAATCGTGTCAGTGAAGGGACGAAAATCGACGACACGGTGCCACGAGAAGTGGTTGTTTTCAGTGACATCATTGATGTGGTGACGGGGTTTTGCCGGTGGGTATCTGCCTCAACGCAACAGACACTGTGGTACTCTTTGGAGCTGCTGGGCGGCGCACACTGTGTCATCTTTAGGCCAGACGAAACACGCGTTGCACCACCTCACGTCGGAAATGGCACTGGCGGGGAAATGGCACTGGAGGGGACTCTTCCGCCGTGGGTGCGCCGCATCACGGCCGCCACTGAACAAAACGTTGAAACGGTTCTCTGGTCAGGCAGTGATGACGACACTGCCATGGAGGTTAACGACACGCCACGCTCTACCTTTTCTTGGAGGAGGCTACAGGTGGTGGACACTAATGGGCAAGTGGGAAGTTCTCAAGGTGTTTTAAAGAGAAACATGGGAATTGATGCGGTAGAGTGGGAGATGCAACGGCAAAACTGCTTTTATGATGCTTTTTCCGCGCACATGTCTTTATTGCGTGAAGAAACTATGGCATGGGAAGACATCCTTTTGAAGTGGGCATCACCACTTGTACGCATGACAACATCATTATTACCGGCAGCTATAGCAGCGGAGAGTTTGGGTTCCGCCACCATTGCGCAAACATCGCTGAGTCTACGTGGCTTGACAGCAACGCAAGATGAGTCACAAGTAAGTGGGGAATATGGAATGGACATCACAAATGAAGTGATGCAGCTGTTGGCAAAGGAAGAAAAGGTGGCACGGATGAAGTTTGCAAAGTACACAGCAGCCGTGCGGAAAGGTGGCTGCGGAAACTAAATGCCTACATATTTCTAAGGAATAACACATATATGCATCGATATCTATTCTTTTTTTTTTGCTTCCTTGTTTTTTTGTGTTTTTGATTGACTTTGCGTCGTTCCCAACGGCACTGGCGCTCATCTTTCTTTACGCTTTTTCTCATCAGCAAGCTGGAAGGCTGCTGCGAGTATTGTAGGAAAATAGTGAGGAGTACAAGGGGCTGAGGAGGAAGGACGTATTTATTTAGTTTAACGTCTTGTGTGCACAGAAGAAATGGGGGATGACGAAAGTCGGAGGCGGGACATCTTGGCGCGCATTGGCGCATCCATACGGGACGCTCAGTACGCTCTGACTGTTAACTCCCCGAGGCGAGTACAAAATGCGGTTTCGGAGACTCAAATGGCCATTATCGCCCTCTCCGAGTATCTCGCGCTTCCCAACGGCATTCCCAAGGCCGCTGCGGTGGCAAAGCGCATCGCCAAGGTACTGGGTTCCGTCATATCGCTGCTGCGTCACAGTGACAGTGGGGCGGGGAGCACCACGCAGTGTGAAATTGAGCCTGCCGACAAACCCCCAAGTCATGAGAGTTCTTTTCCGAACCTTTTTGACGAAGACTCAGACGTTCACGAGCTTTTGCAGCTGCGGGAAAAATTGGCCAGCACGCAGGAAGAGCGTGACAGTTTTGTGGCGCTTCTGCGCGACGCCCAGCAAGAAGTTGCGTCTCTCAAGGAGTCCGTAGCGGACCCAACGCACGGGTTATCACTGCATACGGTGGAAATCGAACGTGTAAATAGCGAGAACAAGGCACTAAAAGAGCTCCTTCAGGAAGAAATACTCAAGTCGAAGGCGTTGGCGGAAACCGTAAGGGAGTCCAACGAGAAACTACAGAAAATAAGTCACGAAAATGCCACCACTCAGGCATTGTTAGAGCAACACCGCAGGGAACTAAAGGAAAAGGAACAAGAAATTGCAGCCAACGTACGAGCGGCGTCGAAGGCAGCTATCATGAATCCGAAACCAATTGACAACGAAGAAATCGAGGCACTCCAAATTCAAGTCAAACTGATGCGTCAGGCACTAAGGGAGTGCATTAATAATTCCAGTGCTGCGGAAATTAAAGCGGGCAAAAAAACTTTGGTTGATATCGAAAACGAACACCAAGACCAGCTAATGGCAATGAAAATCACACTAGAAACGCAGTGCAAGAGGGAAAACAATTACACCCAACAAATTGACGATCTCAAAAATTTTATAGAAGAAATAGAAAAAGATCTCGAACGTGAGCGGCTCCGTGCGGAGGACGCGGAACGCTGTGCGCACGACACTGCTGGCACAGTGGAGCAGCGCCACCGTGAGCAGCTGGCCACGCTGGAAGCCGCCCTGGAGCAGCAGCGGGCACAGCATGCCAGCGAGGTGGACGATCTTCGCGTGGCACTGGAGCACGAGCGGCAGCGTGCGGAGGACGCGGAACGCTGTGCGCACGACACTGCTGGCACAGTGGAGCAGCGCCACCGTGAGCAGCTGGCCACGCTGGAAGCCGCCCTGGAGCAGCAGCGGGCACAGCATGCCAGCGAGGTGGACGATCTTCGCGTGGCATTGGAGCACGAGCGGCAGCGTGCGGAGGACGCGGAACGCTGTGCGCACGACACTGCTGGCACAGTGGAGCAGCGCCACCGTGAGCAGCTGGCCACGCTGGAAGCCGCCCTGGAGCAGCAGCGGGCACAGCATGCCAGCGAGGTGGACGATCTTCGCGTGGCATTGGAGCACGAGCGGCAGCGTGCGGAGGACGCGGAACGCTGTGCGCACAACACTCCTGGCACAGTGGAGCAGCGCCACCGTGAGCAGCTGGCCACGCTGGAAGCCGCCCTGGAGCAGCAGCGGGCACAGCATGCCAGCGAGGTGGACGATCTTCGCGTGGCATTGGAGCGCGAGCGGCAGCGTGCGGAGGAACGTGTTGTTGTTGTAGAAAAACAGTTGGAGGATGCCGTTATGTTTTATCGTGGAGAGGTAGAGAAGGTGAAATCGCTTTTTGCTGCAGATCGTGGTCGTATGAATGATAAGTTGTCTAGCGTTTCGCGGTTTTTGGATGAGGCAACGAAAGAGGCTGATGGGCTTAGGAATAAGGTAAAGATTTTTGAGGAGGAGAATAGGCAGTTGCGTTTGAAATGTGAGGGTACGAGAGATGCCTTGACGGAGTCTGAGGTTGCGCTTCGTGAGGAGAGACGATCGTTGATGGGTGAAGTTTCGTTATTGCGGTCTCGCTGCCTTGCCTTGGAGCAGGAAGTGGCAGCTGCGGTGGAACTGTCAAGCGAGAGGGCGGAGTCAGTAAATAGACTTATGCAGCAGCTTGCGGAGGCGAAGTCGATGGTAGCTAACTCTCTGCATTCAGATAGTGCGAAGATTGCGGGGACTTCAGTGAGCCTGGAAGAGTGGGTACACTTTCTGCGTGGTGTTGTTGTAGCGGATTTAAAGCGAGCGGCACGGGGGGTGGTAGTGGTTAATGAGGAAACTCAAGACATTGTGAATCTCGCGCGGGATCTTCGCAGCGTCATTGATCATACCGCTGGTCTTTCCGTCCAGGTGACGAGGCGTCAGAGGCAGTTGACACAAATTCTGAACGTGGTGGCGGCAAAGCAATGTGTGGCCTTGCGAAAAATCCAGCAGTGCCTGTTGGGATCCGTTTCCTTGCAGGAAACGGATGCCGCCATCCTGGAGGCCTGCCTTCTTTTGTTTAACGACGTTGAGAGTGCTCTAAGTGAGGTGGCGGAACCAGAATTAAAAGATGCTGACAAGTCTGCGTCACTGACGCCAGTGAAAGATGAGCGGGATGCGCTGCTGCAACGTACCCTCCGTCGAGCACGGAATCGCGTCAATGAAAACACGTCTTCGCCCTTGAGTAGCCATGGTGTGCAACCGGTGTTGGGGTCGATGATAACACCCGTTAAAACGAGAGGGACTTCTTCGGGTATGCGGCCATCTAGCGAGAGGAAGTTTCTTTCCTCCCCTGAAGGAGGGCATACGTCGGTGTCGAGAACAAAGGCTTCGCCGCACAACTCGCGAGGGCCACCGGAGCACCTGTCAAGGATGGATGTCGGCCAATGCTCTGAAGATCCTTTTGATTACGCTGTGGCCACGCTTTCGGCGCAAGAAAAGCAGTATGATCGAAGACAGCATTCCATGCCTCCAAGGCGATGGCTGACGCCCGGAAAGAAGGGCAGCTCCACACGAGCTGGTCTATGAAGCTGATAAACTGAGCAAAGGTTTACCCAGTGGGTTTTTAAACCCCTTTTTTTCTTTTTTCTTTTTTGCGTGTTTGTTTATTTCTTTTGTTTGCAATGAATTTTTCCATTGCATGAGTGTTTATTTTTTTGATTTCCACGCTGCGCTGCCTTTTGGGTCTAAAATGCATCTCTTTTCCTTTTCTTATTGTTTCTACGTTCTCTCAAAAGTGTTTTTTTTCTTTTACTTTTCTGGCCTTAGTGATTTGAGTCGGTGGACATTGAGGAAAAAACTGGGTGGAAGGCGGAAGGGGCTGGGGAAGGTCGTGGTTCCGGCAGTAAAGCGGTCAAGAAAACATGTCCGCATTGCTTCCTGCGGAGGCGGTCACACTGCTGTACCGGCGCTATCTAAAGTCTGCCAACCGCATTCCAAACGTCACGATCCGTATGCTTCTTCTTCAGCAGATTCGTTCTGGTTTCCGGCGCAATCAAGGCGTCACAAGTCCTTCAGCGCAGCGTGAGCTTATTAACCAAGCCCACAAGGATCTGCAGGTGCTGGAGGATGACAGACTTTCACGCACTTTGTACATCAATCGTCTCGGTCTTGTCTCGTGCCTTGACTGGGAGGTTCGCCGTACGGAGTACAACTTTACGCCTGAGACGCAATATTTTCTTTCTGCCTATCTTTTCTTTGGGTTTCTTTTCTTCTTGACGGTTATATGGAGTGCAAAGCCTCTGGAGGCGCGGCATCCTGAAATTAGTGCCATGGTGGGCGCCATGGCTATGAGATTAGAGGCGGATTCACCGGAGGAGCTTCGGGACATGCGAGAGAGGCAAATTCGCTCCGGGTTGGAACGTCAGGGGCACCAAATGTCGCTGGAGCATCGTGTTCTTGCTACGTTTCATGAGGCACCTAACGTGAAGGTGTTGCCGCCGTCACTTCACAACCCCGACGGGGCGGTGCGTTACGAGGAGTGAGTTGCCGATGTGGAGTTGGGCAGTAGAGTTCGTTGTTTGTGCATGTGTCTGTCTTACTGTCGAAGAATGGGTGAATGGACATTATTGTTGCAGCTGTTGTTTTGGCTGTCTTATTTGAGTTCTGCTGTGCGTGGTGCAAGAAAATCATTTTTAATTATTATTATTGTTTTCTCTCGTATGCTCTTTGATTCTTTTTTTCCTGTTGGGAGGAAAAACAAAAGAAAGTTTGGAGGACGAAGCACGGCCAACGGTGCGTCTTACCTCATGGATTTTGGGTACGATGAGCAGGGCAACCGGCTGAATCATGATGACAGCAGCAGCAACTACGATGACAGCGACCGTGAGGTTGCTTCTGTAAGCGATGACGATGCTTGGAAGCGGGCGGGAGGCGGCAGTGGCGATGATGATGATGACGATGACGATGATGATAGTTCCCTGCGGCAACGTCATGGGAGGTCAAATGGAGGTGGAACAGATGGTTCAAGCAGTGCCTTCAGTGACGACGTTGAGCTCATCATTGGCGAGGCTGGAAATCAAACCATTGCTGAACCGCTTGTAGATGAAAAAGACGTTGTTTCGTATTTTCGTGCGGATGGGGCGCGCGGTAAGTTCCTTTTTGAGGACCGGCGTGCGGCACCGCTGCTCATTCAAGATACACACGCGGCACCATCTTCGGAACGTGAATTTTTAGATCTCCTGTGCGGCATCCCTTCGCGGCAACGCAACGTGGCACTTGTTGGTCACCTGCACCATGGAAAGACTTCTCTGCTCACTATGCTTCTTGGGGGCCGTGCGTACCGTCAGCGTGAGGACGAGGTGGAGCGCAAAATTTCTCTTAAAAGCAGTGTTGTGACGGAGGTGGTGTCGGGGGCACACTACCAGCAGGCCTCTCACCTCGTCAGTTTCTGTGACACACCTGGTCATCCCGACTTTGCGGCGGAGACGGCAGCAGCCCTGCGCTTGGCAGACGCCGCAATATTTTGTGTCGACGCGGTTGAGTCCATAACACGCAACGCTGTCCGGCTTTTGCGACAGACGGTGCTGCAGGAAAATCTCCCAGTGATGCTTGTCATCACGAAGGTCGATCGTCTCATCATGGATCTCAAGCTACCGCCACTGGACGCCTACCGCAAGTTGCGGACGGTGGTGGATGCTGTCAACAACGAGATTGCTGGCTTTGGTTCCCCGTTTCTTGTTTCCCCACAGAACGGCACCGTCTGTTTCGCGTCGTCAAGACTTGGGTTTTGCTTTACGACGGAGACCTTTGCACTGAAGTACAGCCGTGAGTACCCTTCCGTTGACCCAGTCGCACTGTCGCAGCAGCTTTGGGGACAAGTTGCCTTTGAGAAGGGGCAATTTGTGAAGATCAAAAACTTCACACAGAGACCCGCGTTTGTCACGCTGATTCTTGAGCCGCTGTACAAAATTGTCGCCCATGCCCTGACCGGCAAAGGGCACGAAGTCCTTAGCAGCCGTCTCCATCCCCACCCACGGGATCCTGTCGCTGCAGCACGAGAGGCCGTACAACTCTTTTTTGGCGACGCCGCCACAGAAGGCATTGACGCACTTCTCAATGTAATGCCAAAGGCTGATGTGCGCCTGAACTGGCTTCGGCTGCGTTATGGACTCACATGTGAGACGCAAAATTCGGTGCTCGCCATTGCACCGCTGCTGCGTTCGCAAAATAATGGAGAAGAGAATTTTGCAATTGTTCGTGTACTGCATGGTGTTCTAAAACGAAGCATGAAATTGGTTGTTGTGGATGAACACTCCAGCGACGCTGAGCCCTTCTACACCTTTGTTGTGAAGGAGCTGCTTCTGAAGATGTTAAATGGGCTTGTTGAAGTAGATGCCGCGCACGCAGGTCAGGTGGTTTTTCTTACTGGTTTTGGTACACGACCAGGGAGTCATCTTGTTCTCGTTGGTGGTGCCATCGCTGATCCCCTTTTGATGGAAGATGACGCGGTTGACGTGGGAGAAACCGCATCAGGAGATTGGCTTGACGATGTGCGGGTGTATCCCCTCAAATGTGGAGACCCCATGGTGCATGTTGGGGTGGAGCTGAAGGATCCCAAAAAGAGTGCACAGCTGCAGCGTGGTCTTCAGATCCTATTGCGGACAACACCCGGACTTGATGCACACAAGGAAGAGACAGGGGAATTTACTCTTACTGGGTATGGAGAATTGCATCTTGACACGGCTCTGCACGAACTACGCTGTGGTCTCTGCAAAGGTGTAAAAATTGGGATATCGCAGCCATTTGTTTCCTTTTCTGAGACGGTGCTGGAGAAGAATGGCGTGCTTGCCGTGAGCGGCTCCAAACGGGCTCAGATTGGGTGCACAAGTGGCGCCATGAATCGTCAACTTGTAGATCACGTGGAGTACGAGCAGATCGATCTTTTCCCCTCCGACGGCAGTAGTGTTGTGAAGCTCTGGACGACACTGCGGCAGTATGGAATGGATGCCCTGGACGCCCAACACGTCATGGCGGCTGGCCCCCACGCAACGAAAGGCCCAAGTTTGCTCATCAATGACACTATTGAGGAGGAGCAACAGGAGTTCGCCCCGTTGACACAACAGCGTTTGCAGGCTATTGCCGTTGGATTTCGCTCTGCGGTGGCTTCTGGTCCTATTACTGGCGACGTTGTTCGTGGCGCAGCGGTGCGAATTGTCTTTGCTGACGTGGAGGCGGAAACGAAGGATGCGGCGATCATTTCAACTGCGCGGACGACAGTGAAGCAGGCGCTTCTTGGCGGACTGCCACGTCTTCTTGAGCCGGTGCTTGCTGTCGACATTACATGTCCTCCTGAATGTGTTGGAAAAATTTCAGAGATTCTGCAGATGCGCCGAGGAAGTGTTTTGTCGGAGGAGCCGATTGCCGCCACAACCCTTGTGTGCGTGCGTGCGCTGGTGCCGGCGATGGACAGCTTCGGCCTGGAAACGCAAATGCGCATGCTGACCCAAGGCGAGGCATTTCCGCTCTTCAGCTTTGACCGTTGGGACCTTGTGCCCGGCGACCCCTTCGATGCGTCCATTCACGTTGCTCCGCTTCAGCCAGCGCGTGGTTACCAGCTGGCACGGGACTTCACGCTCAAGACTCGATTTCGAAAAGGCCTGCCACCACTTCTCGCCGAGTTTCAGGCGTGACGGCGCTCGTTTTTTTATTTATTTTATATATAATAATGAAGAGAAAAAAGGCCAAACAAAAAAGAGAACTAAGGGCGTTTTGTGGTCGCACATAGAGACACGTCCGCCGCGCACATTTACGCATCCTCGTAAGGACAAATGCCTTTTTAAAATTGTATTTGGGTACGCATTTTATCCCGCACTGCGTCTTGTGTTCTCTTCTTTCTGACGGCATGTTTTTTTCCCTTTTTTTCTTTTTCTTTTTTTCTGTTTTACCGCGTTATTCACATATGCCATTTTTGGGCTAGCACCATTTTATTTCACTGAAGTTTGAAGTAAACGAAAATGAGTCGGGATTTGGCGAAGGAGGTTGACGAGGCGTTAAAACAGGACAAGTATGACATTCAGCTCTTTTTGCGCTTTCTGAAAAGTTATGTCATGGCGGGTACACAGCCAGACAAGCGGCTTCTTCTTGGAATTCTCCTGCAGACGCTCCCGCGCTTTCACAGTAATGATTTTTTAGCCTGTATATCTCTTGTGCCCGGGCACGTGCAGGACGCTCCCTACGTTGAGAAGGAGCTGGGCACGATTTACGACCTGGAGAACTATCTGAGTTGCGGCAGGTTTGTGCAGTTCTGGGAGGTGTGGAATCAGTCAAAGAGCCTTCCTGCCGCCTCGCCAAGCTTTGAGTCACAGGTGCGCGCGGGTATTTTGATTGTGGTGTCCAGCACGCTTGAGAAGGTGCCGGTGGCGAAGATGGCGGCGTATCTTGGGGTGAATCCTGACCAGCTCCAGTCCACGCTGACTGAAGCCGCCAGCATTGCCGGTGAGGCCGTTTCCATCGTCTCCTGCGACACGGAGACCGTGACTTTTGCCAAGTCGATCTTCAACGCCCCGGAGAGCGATTCTAACCAACAGCCACTGCGCTTCTCTGACATTGTCTCGATTGTCTCGTAGTGGGGAGGGGTGCGGGCGGTACGGGCGGGGAGGGTCCTGCGCTCTCATCGCCAAAAGGATAACAGAAGAAAAAGAAGGAGGGAAGGATTACATCTAAGCGAACTTAAACAAACAGACAAACAAGCAAAAAAGACTTCTTCCTTTTTTTCTTTTTTAATTGCGCCCTTATTTATTTGTTTATTTATATTATTATTTTATCTGTGGAGAGACTTTTCTCCCTGCTGCTTCAAATTGGCATCAGCGTGATGGCCATCGACCATATTCTTTTACGGTGCCACTTTTCCTCTGCCTCTCTTTCCCTCTTGACTCTCATTTTAGAGACCGTCAATTCCCCTGTTATGCGTCAGAGTTTTCCGTCGTGTGTTTTTCACCGACATGAGTTGATGGAAAAGAGCGAGTATATGTGCGAGTGTGCGCAGCTTACTGAAGTCTATGATTTATTTTGCCAGCAGGCGAAGCAAGTAGACGCTTTCGCTTCTGTGGATTTGGGGCCCAATGTTAACCCTACCAGCCTTGCGTTGCATGAGTCCATATCCATGACTGCCTCGCATGCTGACTACGATTCCCTTACCCGCTGTCACATTCTTGAAACCCTCACAGAAGATCAAGTGGCTTTTTTTTGGGAACACGCCGTAATGTTTGCCGCTGAACATATACTGAACTCTTTCCATGTTTCCTTGCGGCGCGGCAAGGCCGTGATGGGTGTCTTCATCACGCGGAATGCCGTCGCGGATTTTTCTGTGGGCCTCATCACGCAGGGCACATGGCGAGATCAACGTTTGCAGGAGGCCGTTTCTCAGTTTTCTGGCCCGCACACGCTGAATAAAGTGTACGCGGAGTTGCCTCTCTGTGCCGCCTACCGTACAGCGAACGTGCGTTTGTGGTGGGAACCGCGTGTGGAGCGTGTGACTCCGCACCGTGTCATGCCTCCAGTAAAGGTTATTCTGGAGCAGCAGCAGCAAGAGCAGGTGGATAAAACACAGTTGTGTGGATACACTGCGGTGAATGTCTTTCTTTGTCGGCCGGCGGCGTCAAAGCTTTGCGGCACCACGCGGAAACTTTTGAACGGCGCTGATGGAGGTGTGGCTGGGAAGGCAGTAATCCCTGCGGCTGAAAAGAGGAACGGGGAAATAAATTTAAAGGCCGCCGCATTCTCCATTGATGATTCACATGGTGCTGCACGCTGCAGAGAGCAGGCGCCGTGGCAGCGTTCAGTTGTCCTCCATTTTGACGACCTCTTTGTTCTCGAAGAGGGCGAGCACCTCGTTGGCGTGGAGGTGGAGAGACTGCCGTCATACAAGGCATTCATCCCTGCACTCTACGGTCACTTGGCTCCTTTTCTCGTAGTGGCCCACGAGAACGCCTAAAAGTGACTATGTGAAAGAGAGCGATGTCAGTAATTTGTTTTTTTCCATTTTTTTTTTTTTTTTTTTGTCTGTTCTTTTTTTTTACTGTGCAAATAATCCGCTTTTCAATACAGAATACACATGTCATCACCCCTATACATATTCATGTTATTATTTTCTTCTTTTTTTTTCTCTCCCTGTATATATATATATATATATATATATATATACGCATTTTTGATTTGTCGCGCGTGTTTTTTTTACTGACAGATACAAATGTTTATCTGCTGGTCATGGCTTGCATCTCATTGCGTCCATCACTCGAATTGCCGTGGACGGATAAAGTAACGGCAGCGTCGTGATGTCACATATCTTTGTTACCAATGCCAGCAATTAAACCCGAAACAACAAAACAACATCAACAGAAACAGAAGCCATCACTCCAACGTGGTTTTTAATAGGCCACAATATGAGCGGTGGTGGTGCAGGTGTGGAGCTCGAGTGGCAAGCGAGGTTCGGTATGCATTTTCGTTTGTGGGAATGGGTAACCTTGTGTTTGCTTACTCAGTGCCTATTGATCTTTAAGGAAATTGCTTCTTTCTTTCATTTCCGCCACTGCTCGACTACCCCTGCAGCTAATTACCCTTCAATTGCCCTTTTTTTTTTTTTTGTGTGTGTGTGTGTGTGTATTTCTTACCAGCGAGGGAATTCTTAAGTTGCAAGTCTCTGAAAGGGGATATTGTGTGTATGCGAGGAAGGAGAGAGGCATAGGCAGCAACACGACGAGGAAAGAAGGGAAGTGAGGAAGACGAGAGGTGGCTTCCACTATTATACACGACGCGGCATCATGTCCAGGCTGTTCCAGCGACTTATGGAGCTTGGTGAAGAGCGCTCTGATGCAGTTACTTTATCGACATCGTTGGAAATCCATGCGAACGCAACGAGGGAAGAGCTGGTCGCGGAGTTGACGCAGCTGCGGGCTCAGCTGGCGGAGCAGAAGACGAAGCACGACGAATTATTTGCCGATGCAATTGCACTACGCTCGGAGTACGACACCTTCCGACGCACCGCCGGAAAGGAAAAGCATTTGCTCCTGGAGCAGCAAGCTAATGATCAACGCATGTTGGAAGAGTTGCGCCGCGCGGGCGTCACGGGAAAGATGGACGAGGTGTATATGATGGAGACGGAGGCCAAGATGGAACAGCTGCAGGCCGAGCTGCAGAAGGCTGTAGAAGAGGCGGAAAGGGCATATAAGCGGCAAATCGAGGCGGAACGCGCACAGTTGGCCGCGGAGACATCCAAAAAGGAGGATTTACAGGAGTTGTGCCAACAATTTGACCGGTTTAAGGAGGCGATGCGACACCGCAACGAAGAGTTGGAGAGGGAAATTTGTGAGGCGCGTGCGGCGGCGGCAGTAGGAATAATGGAAGAAACATCCCTTGAAAAAGAAGGAGCGTCCCTTGCAAAGGACGGTGTTGATGGTAACTCGCATGATGACAACAAAATTCCAGGCACCACAATTAAAGAGACGTCGCAAATGCAGGGTTCCTTGGTGGCTGCATTGCAGCGTGAGAAACAGGCGCGTGCGGAGCTTTTAGCTGAAAATGGACGAAATCAACGCCAAGTGGAGGATCTGAAATGGAAACAAATGGAGGCGGAGAGAAAGATTGCAGAGTTAAGGAAAGAAATAGACACATGGCGTTTGAAGGTGGCGCATTTAGAAAAAACACTGAATACCAGAGGTGAGGAGCACGGGCTGAGGGAAAAGGATTTCCGACTCGTCATTCGGCAGAAAGAAGACAATTTCGCACGCCTGGAGAGGGAATTACAGGCGGTAAAGCAACTTGCAGAAGAAGCGCGCCAAGAGGTGGAGCGGGGACTGCTCCGTGAACGGGAGATGGAGGCGAGGAATGCTGTGATTGTTAGCGAGGCGGAAAGCCTCAAAATGACTGCCAATGCAGCACTGGAGGAGCAGCGTGTACATTTCGAAAGGCTGCTTCAGGAAAGTGAGGGACTTCTTGAAGAACAGCAAGGTGTGTGTCGGACCTTGGAGGCGACCCTGCGGCAGATGCGGGAGGATAAATCTAATCAGGCGGATCGCATTGAGAGCCTTTGGCATGAATTGGATCACGCCCAGCAGGTGATTAGTGAGATGGAGCTTATGCAGACGCAGAGCCAACGCCTTATTGAGCTTCGCGAGGAGGAAGAGACGCACGAATGCACCTGTGAGCGCATGCGTGAACTAGGGACGCAGCGGAGTGAAGCCGGGGTTCGTAGCTCCAGAAACATGGATGTTTCGGAAGAGGCAGCATGTAGGCTTGCCACGCTCGAGCGAGAGGGCAGCCTCAGGGAGGCAAGGTTAGCTGCACAACAGACAGAGCTTCAGAGGAGGGATCAAACTATACAGCAGTTACAGATTCAGTTGGATGACTTAATTACACAGAACGCGAGGTTCGCCTTGTACCGCGAGGAACAGGTTGCTAAGACTTGTCAATTTGAGGCTCGCATTCGCGAATTGGAAGCGGAACGCTCTGCGGCCATTATTCAACGTCTGCAGACGGAAAATGCCTCCGCCCCGGAGAGGCCCCAAAATTCACACTCGGTTGTAGTTGAAAGTGCATCACGCATCACCTCTGCGCCGAGTTCCGAAATGTTGTATGCGACCACTTCCGAGCGCGCCCGGCAGCAGTTTGTCTCTCAGGCTATCATGTCCGCGCGAAAGTTGCGTCTCTCCGCATTTGCTCGTTTTCGAAGGCTTATTCTGGCGTCTTCGGCGTGTATTGTTTTGGTGATTTTGGCCAGTACTTTTGTTGCCGTTTTTCCCAACACTCAGACTCTGGAGGCAGGGGAGAGGGCGATGGAGTCACTCAGACGGCAGTACACAGTGGCCTCCGCTGCGCTAGCGCGATGCCAGGCAATTCTCTCGGAGTGCCGCAGCCAATAAAATTCCGGCCTCCAACAACAACAACAACAGGAAATGAGACATCATCATTTTGTCTGTTTTGGTCTTTTCCATTTCCTGCGCCTACATTTGCCTTTTTGAGCGTAATGTATATTTATATTGTGCGTGTTTTGCGGTGGGCAGCGAGTGGTGATCGAAGGTGTTATTTGCCGCTTCATGTAATTTTTTTTTCTTTGCTGATTTGCGCCTGAAAGGGGTGTATATGTGTATATATTTGGAGGGGGGAGGGGAGAGTCCGCGTGTGTCATGGTGATGACAGTTAATGTTGTTTCTCTTTCGCCCAGCTTTTTTTATTTCCCCCTCCACACACACACACACACATTCACCTTCAGCAATTTTATTCACTGGCGCCATTTGCCGCGGACGCAAATAAAGGTTGCCGTGTAATCCGTGTCAGTGAAGAAACAATGGAGCAACTCGTAAAAAAGATTTGGCCCTGGATCCCGAAGGGATCGATCACTTCCATCGACAAAAATGCACTCAAGTCAGAGCGCCCAACCTTCACTTGCAATGACGAGACAATCAACTACGCGACGTACCATCTATGCGCCTACGACCCCATTCTGGGGAACCTCCTTTGCGTCGGGGACAATGTGCCCGTCGTTGTGCTTACGTGCGGTCGTCGACGTGCGGTACTGCCAGTGCGAAAAGGGCTGCGATGGCTAGACGTTCATATATTTGCCGGAACTTCGAGCTTTCTGTTGTTGTCTCCAGAGTGTCTACTGCTTGTCGACTTCACAAGACGCCATTCCCCCTCCACACTTTTTTCTTCTTGCAAAGCTGGGGCATTGTTTGCATGTCTCCATGTTCCACAGGGTATGACGTGGGGGGTAGTTGGGTGCCGAGGTGGATCCGTCATGTATTGGAAACTGAAGGAGGAGGCGGGCTCGGTGAGTTTGTTTTGGGCTGCAATGGCAGCTGATCCACTTGAGTTTTGTCGTCCTTTTCTTCCGACTCCAATGCCTCCATCGTGTGGGCATATATATTCTATAGACTCCAACCCGACGAGTCCAAATATCCTTGTGGCAGTGCTCTCAGGGGTCAATGGGGTCTGCAAGTGGCACATGGATGAAAATTGCTTGAGTGGCTTCTACCGTATGCCGAATCTCAATACAAGCATGTCTCTCAAGGCTTGCAGGATGACCCCAGGGGGGGTGTATATCGTTGCGATCACAAGTGATACTTCCACTCTGTTCATATGGTCCGATGGAGGAAAGAAGGCAAAGAACAAGTCTGTGGAGGTATTCTGGACGTTAAAGACTGGATGTCGCTTACCTTTTTCTCCTGGGAATAGTGGCAGAGAAGAAGTGAACGAGAGCGAGATTGAGGATGCACCGTGTGGCATACACATTGCACGTAGCGCTGGCTCCTCTTCGCAGGCGCAATCGGACAAAAAGTGCCAAATGCATCTTCTTCTCCACTCTGCGGGGGAATTGGTGGAGCTGGTGCTTGATGTGGAGGGGAGACAGCTTCTCCAGAGAGAGGACCTCTTGGCTCATGTGACTGCAGTAAAGTTGGAGCCCCCGCCAGCGCTGGATGTCAAGGATGCCCTTGCCGTGAACTGTGTTGTTCCGTGTTCTCGTTCTAAATATTGGAGGGGTATGTGGACAGAAGGGGACTTGGACGTACTCCTTATGACAACCCGCACTTATGGGCCGCTCTTGATACGGCGGTGCCGATTAAAACGGAATGTGGAAAGTATTGACAAGTTGGAGGAAATTCCACGAGGGGCGGACCCATCCATTGGGATGTTGCTTCTTTACCCGCCGTTGGAAACGTTGAATGCTATATGGTCGTCGGTAAGGAACAATAAAAGTGGTTCCAATCACTGGCAAGATGTCCTACACGGTATGGAGTTAGCAAAACACTGCAACGTGCAGGAATGGGATGGTACTCTTTTGGTTCTTGGCGTATTCTCTGATGTACCAACTGTGGGCGTTTGCCTACTTCCTCTGTCCAATGAGTGCATTCCTATACCCACTGATGTCATGGAGCAACACACGGCGTGGTTGAGCCACGTCCCTTCCCGAAATGACAGGCAATTGGTGATACTCGAGCAAGCTATACCAGAGCCACCGCGCAAGACAGAAATGATATTGCGTGTTGTGGTAGATGAAGATGCAGTCGTTGTATTTGTGACGCATCTCTCATTGGGTATTGTTGAACCTCTTTTGAACCTTTCGAGAGAGTGTCTCATGCCGGATAAAGCTCCTGGTGGAAGAGGGGATGATGATGACGATGACGAAGAGGTCCCTTTGGCGCGAGCTGCGGTTTTGATCAATTGCCGTATTGAGAATTCCGGCGACGCAGCGTCAAGATTCCAGCTGCTTTGTGGTGGATACAGCATACTCCTCCAGCTGCGCGATGCTTCCTTGGTGCTTGTGAGCCTAAGCGGTGCAGAGACGGGCGAGGAGGGTTTTCCCCTCATGGTGCGTTATCCATCGGCTCTTTTTCCTGCTCATAGCACTGTGGCGTCGTTTGACACGGTATGGATTGATTTCCGAGGCTCTTCCATTGATGCAAAGTTGGGTGAAACCAACGGGACGTGCCTGGCACTTCTCTGCGCTTTGTCCGACCAGAAAGGCGTGGTCGTATGGGATATGAGCCAAATGCGAATTCTATCTTACTACCCAAACAATGGATGTGATGAATGGCGGTGCAAGACCGTTATCGCATGTTCTCAGAAAGATTATTTCAGTGAAGTGTTTGCGGGAGTAATGTGTGAAATTGTTCTGATGTCGACCACCAGCAGCGGGACGGTGGCGACACACGGGAGCGAGGGGGTTGTTTATCTACGCGACGTGTTTGGTCGTCTGTTGCTTTCATTGCGTATTCGCTATGCTCCTAATGGGTCGGATACCTGGTTTGTGAAAAGGGACGACGGTGAGGCTGAGTGGTATTCGATTCCCTCCGTGGGGACTGTGGAATTGCGCTTCTGTGTGCGAGTTGGAAAGGGCCAGGCGATGCTGACAAGAGGGGTAACACATTCTCTCGGGGAGACATTGGTGCCGTCTGCTCCCATCGCCTTCGTAGAGGCAGGGCCGTCCTGGCTGTTTGGTGCCCTCGAGTGGCATTCACGTGAAAATTCAAAAGGGAGCGAGGAAGAGAAGGATGCGATGGCAGCCCCAATTTCTCCATACACCACACAGCGTCCATGCGAGGAAGCGACCGTATTAATTTGCGGTGAAAGGAACGTTGATTTCTTCACCGCCGCACGTCTGGCAACAAGTGAGAGTGGAAAACCACCCGAGTTTTTGTGCCATTGCAACTTTGACCACGTCATTGAACACGTGGTCGTTTGCAAATTAATGGACGCAGTGCTTGTTTTGACGAAGGACGCCAACGGATGGCGCTGGGTTAGCGTGCTGGATTTGCATACCGCGCGACGGTTGGCGGAGTCCAAGGTAATGATTCCGTTCTCCCAGGAAAGGGATCTCCGCATCCACCCTCTTCCCGTTGAGGGGGGCGACCTCCACGTGTACGTTGCTGGCCGGGGCGGGGTGCTTGGTCACCTTGTCTTTTCTGCCGTGGGCGACGGGGTAAAAAGTTTTGGTTCCCGCTCGGGTTTTTTTTTTGCGGGACCGCCCTGCGCATCCACGCCATCGAGTTTTCGAGCGTACCGACAGCTTCTTCCGCCGCCACCCGCAATGAAGCAGGAACAAGGATTTTTGAAACGCCTCATGACGCTTCCGTGGGAGGAAATGGCCCTGAAAATGGAAGAACGGCTTCAGGCGGGGCGACCGGAATCATTTGAAGTCCCCCGCCACCGCCTGGCGCTCCCCGCCGGAGGTGGAGACCCGCCTTCGCCTTCGCCTTCGCCAACCCCAACGACCGCACCCCGGCAACCCGCTCCGGCGCAGGAACGCGAGGGAATGTGTTCGCGGGGCCGGTACGCTGAAATAAAATCCACTGCGGCGCGGGAAAACGTGTCACTGAACGAGGCGAGGCGAATTATGAATGAAAACCAAGCTCGGCTCCAGGATCGCGGGGAGCGGATTTCTCAAATTGCAAACCGGTCGCGCGAACTCGCGGAGGAAGCTGCCAAGTTTCAGGACCTGGCGCGGAAGCTCAAAGAAATGCAGAAAAATCGCTGGATATAGTGCGGGGGCGGCTCGTGCGACAGGTTTTTTCTTCCCTCTTGCTATCGGCTCTCGCTCGGCATTTTTATAAATTCTTATCTTTTCTCCTTTGCGAGCAGTCGAATGCCTTTCCTCCAACACGCTTTTCTCTCTGGGACGCTTTTGTGCGCCTGGCGTTTTTTTTTTTTTTTTTGAGAAATAGGGCCCGGATATGGCCATGGCTTTGGCGTCCGCCGCGCGTACCCGGAAGACAGGCGGCGGCAATTATCCCCGGCAAAAATCCTCCAATGGCATCCGCCGGAAAACCCCAGCATGCGTCGAGAACGGGCGGCGGAATCATCTTCGGGGGAAGCGCGCCACCACCAGCCCTGCGCCCACGAAAATCCCATGAGGGAAAAATCACTCGCTTTCGGCTTTCAAACGAATCGCGCCCCCGTTCTTGGCTGCCGAGTCCTGGCACCGCGGTGAGGCAGTTAACCACAAAATCACCGGGGTGCTCATGTCCTTTTGGTCGGCCTTACAAGAGGCCATCGCAAAAATTACTTCTTCTTCTCGCTCCACAATGGATGGATCCCTGCTGACCTTACCACTCGTCCTCACCAAAAGCTTCCATTGATTCTCCGACTTCAAACGCATGGAGAATACAACGCTCTTCCCCTCTTCCTTCCCACGGCACTCATGGGAAACACGGGAGTGCCGTCCTTCGTCTCGACACTCGGTCCTCCGCCACCAATCAACCTATTCAAGGAGTGTCAATCTCCTCTGACCTCAGGGTTCAGTTCATGGGCCTCATTCCATTGGATTTTATTGCCAGAGGCCTTCAGCCATTATTACCGGCCACTTGAGTGCCAGACTTTTTATGGCTGTAACTTCCCAGAAGCATTTGGATGCTGCCGCCAATTCCAATTCATGTTGGCCGCATCATTCCAGTCGCCTCGAAGCCATCCGCAGCAACACCCCTGAGCAATTGTGTATAACAAGTTTATATCCACTGTCGAGATCTCCGTTGGCTAAGCAATTTCCCTCGGGCTCCTTCACGCAATCCCCGTACGGCTGCCGGCCCCGCAGTCTTCCCTGCACCGCGCCTCAGCAGTGGCAAATGCACCGCCGTTCGCCTCAACAGGGCCGGGAACACGAAGCAGGCCGGCTCCTCCAGCAGCCTCTTTCAGTTCCCCTCATTTGACAGGAGATATCCGTGTCGTCCCTGCGAATAGATCAACGGGATTCCTTGAAGTAATTCTCTCAGCTCGCGCGGCTCCACGCAAGGATCTCACCAACACGAGGGGGAACAGCACCGCGGAATTGAACACATGCCGGAGCATGCTGGGTTGTCGCTGTGCTCACTCTCTCTTCCTTCCATCCTCCTTCCGCTGGATCCGACTACGCGGTGACGGCTGTGCGTGCGCGTGTGTGTGCTGTTGGTCCTTCCGGAGCCATTAGAGTGCGCAGTAGCAATTCGCGCCCGGTCCCAATTTCCTTCTTCGTGTGCATCCCCGAGAAGTAAAGAGAGAAGAACAGACATGCCAAGAGAAAACAGGGAAATGCGGAAGGCGTCAGGGAAGAGAAGCGAGCACTGCCACCATCCACAGTGAGTCACATCGTCAGCCTTGCAGCCAATATCTCCCACAACCGTTCAAGCCTCCAGCCACGCACACACACGCAGACAACGGCGTCATCCGCCACGGATCGTGTGCAGGCGTGCTCATGTGCAAACACAATGTGTGCAGTCACTCCGCATTGTTGTCCGGCAACCCACACACCGTATGCTGCTGGTGTGATTCTGTGCCGCACCAGTCAGAAGCCACGACCTGACACATAAAATACGCCGCGGCTCAACAAACACGCATCTGCCCCTCAAGGTGGACCCATACTCTCCAGCTGTGAGGTGTTACCTGCCTAAAGCCCCAGTATCCAAGTAAGGGCTTATAGCAGGGCAGTCAATGCATGGCGTGCGCCCCGTGCCTCCGCCCTCGTCATGGGATTCAATGGGGCCCCGCACCCATCCACGCAGCAGCCTCCGCCCCGCCCGGAAATGGAATGCAAACAGCACCCCAGCACCCGTGCAGAAAGAAGGGCATCCGCCTGGGGCCAAGCAAAAAAAAAAACGCCATGAACCCTTTGCGCGTTTGTGGGCAGCCCGTGAGAGCAAAGCGCTGCCCAGGCAGGACGCTCATGGCAGGAGACTTGCCGGGAAGCTTCTCTCCGCCAGGTCCCCATTCAAAGCACACGATGCACCGGCATAGAGAATAGAAATGGCACCACTTGTGCAAGCACAAGCCCACCAAAGAAGCGCGCAAGAAAGAGACAAACTACCGGGCGACAAGCACCTCCTCCCAATAGCTGCCGTCCACGCAGCCAAGAAGTCAGGGGGAATCCTTCGGGTGATTGCGACGCCGACCCCAATAATCGCGAAAGCGGCCCTCACTTGTCGACCAGTCAGCCATCCCTCACGGTGTTTCCACGCACAAAACACCCTACACACACACGCGGTCGCATTGGTGGCGCAGCAACTCTCCAGCCTGTCTTCGCCCGCACCCGGAGCATCTCCCACACGTGTCGCGCAGGTGTCTTGTCCAGGCGCCCCTCCCCCCGCAGAGGCATTTTTGATCCGACGTCGTCAACCGGGTTCCGGCCTCCGAGAGGGCAGAGCCTCCGCCCCCCGCTCTCAGCTGCGCCCATGCGGTTGGACAGTCGGCCAGCCCGCCCGAGGTCCAAGCAAAAAAGCTTGCGTGATGAAGTGCTGCTTTCCAGCGCATGCCGCGGCAACCGCCGCCCACCTCTATTTGAATGCCCGCCACCCTTTTTCACCGGCGGCTTCGGTCCCAACTCAGCAGCCGCCTCCCGCACCGCAGGCTGGGAAACCTCATGGGCAGAAAATGCCACTCACTGACCCCGCCCTGCAGCCGAGTGATGGTGGGTGCAACCTCCCAACGCGGGGGCAGCTTAGTGGCTCGGGCGCCGTAAAAGCCGCGTCGTCTCCGTTGCAAATTTCCCACCGTGCCCGGTAGAAGGAGCACCGGGTAAGAAGGCGCAGCGCACACCAGACGAGTTATAGGAGTGTGTCCTCCAAAGACGGCGCTGTAGAGGCACGAGACGGTACAGATGCGGGCTTACGGGACGCGTCGTGTCATGGCATTGCCCGCTCCTGTGGCATCGACAGTGCATACGCCCTTCGGCACCGTGTTTGACACAACCCTACAAGCCTACGAAACTCCAACTGCGATGAGGGTAGGAAAGGTCCCATTGCCAATGTGCAGGAATATATGTTCTGCCAAACGCAGCCCAATGCCAATCCACTGGGAGGCCGCAGAGGGCGCCAAAGCAAAGCTTCCCAAAGACGCAAGCAAAAAGACTGTGAAGGCTCCCGTTCCCCCTATCAAGCACTTGGCCGACAGCTAAGAGAGAGAATGGAAAAGAAAAATATGTTCAATTCGCCTAATCGTGCAAGGCATTCACATCGGCCGTGTTCCTTCCACAGTCCTGCGCAAATAGGTTCACGAAAAAAAGCAGTACGAACGACAAGGTGGCTCACCAAAGCATTTGTTGGGGCAGCTCAAAAAAAAATATAATAAAAAAAAGAGCGCCGCCAACAAAAGTTTACATGAAACCTTTTTACATCTCCCCTAAGAATTACATTCAATACATTTGAGCAGGTCGCGTGTGCGGAGCCAGTGGGAGTCTACTATCATCTGCAGTGGTAAAACAAAGAAATAACACAGAGTCAAAGGCAACACACATTCCCCAAGTTACCTGAAGCGACGAGCACGGACAGTAACAGTCGAATCATCCGTCGAAAAACGCGGTTCATCCGCCGTAAAATTATGCAAATCGACAGAATTACTTTGCGACACCGTCACATTGGAGTGCCTGCTACGGCTCTGCCCCCCACTCCTCCTCCCCCACGTGCCAGAGGCGGTATCATGCGCAGCAGGAGCGGTCGCACTCAGCGTGAACGATATATTTTGGTCAATACCCAACTGGCCCTTCCGCTCCATCACGCTGCTCATTTTTACGGCCAGCCGATCAATCACCAGACGGCAGTATTCCTCATCCTGCACAAAGCTCGGCCTCCGCGGCAACCGAAACGTTCCACGCTCGCAAAGAGCATCAGCGCCTTCAGCCCGCTGCGGGCGGGCA